TGTGTGTTTGATTTTGTGTGTATGACTCTGTGTTTGTTTTGTGTGTTTGTCTGTGTGTGTTTGTCTTTGTGTGTGTGTGTGTCTGTGTGATTGTTTTTGTGTGTCTGTGTCAATTTGATTTTGCGTGTGTGTCTGTTTCGTTGTGTATCTGTTTCTTTGTGTGTGTGTGTGTGTGTGTGTGTCTGTGTGTGTGTGTTTATTTGTTTGTGTGTTTGTGTATGTTTTGTGTGCATGTGTTTGTTGTGTGTTTGTGTGTGCGTTTATGTGTGTGTGTGTGTGTGTGTGTGTCTGTGATTGTTTTTGTGTTTGTGTGTGTGTGTGTGTGTCTGTCTGTGTGTCTGTGTGATTGTTTTTGTGTGTCTGTGTCGGTTTGATTTTGTGTTTGTGTCTGTTTCGTTGTGTATCTGTTTCTTTGTGTGTGTTTATTTTGTTTGTGTGTTTGTGTATGTTTTGTGAGCGTGTGTGTGTGTCTGTCTGTGTGTCTGTGTGGTTGTTTTTGTGTGTCTGTGTCGGTTTGATTTTGTGTGTGTGTCTGTTTCGTTGTGTATCTGTTTTTGTGTGTGTGTGTTTATTTTGTTTGTGTGTTTGTGTATGTTTTGTAAGCGTGTGTGTCTGTCTGTGTGTCTGTGTGATTGTTTTTGTGTGTCTGTGTCGGTTTGATTTTGTGTTTGTGTCTGTTTCGTTGTGTATCTGTTTTTTTGTGTGTGTTTATTTTGTTTGTGTCTTTGTGTATGTTTTGTGAGCGTGTATTTGTTTTGTGTTTGTGTGTGTGTTTGATTTTGTTTGAGTATGTGTGTGTGTGTGTGTGTGTGTAATTGTGTGTGTGTGTGTGTCTTTGTGTGTGTGTCTGTGTGATTGTTTTTGTGTTTGTGTGTGTTTGATTGTGTTTGAGTGTGTGTGTCTGTGTTTCTTTGTGTGTCTTTCTTTGTGTGTGTGTGTGTGTGTGTGTGTGTGTGTGTGTGTGTGTGTGTGTGTGTGTGTGTGTGTGTGTGTGTGTGTGTGTCTGTGTGTGTGTGTGTGCGTGCGTTGCAGATGGTCGAAGACATTTTGCTAAGTAATATATTATCCTAGATAAGCTCGCGCAGATCCTTTGGCGATGATCTCTAACAGACGATCTATGAGAAGTTGGATTAAATCAATTGGTGGAGGATTAATAGACATCACTCTTTTATTTAAATTAAATAAGGAAAGTCCACACAGGCCGTGGGATTATGTATGTTACTGTGTGAAAATGGATATTTCAATCGCTTTTACAACTTGTGGTCTTTTGTTCAGCCTTTTATTGAAAAACAGAGTAATGATATGTAAATACAAATAACTAAACAGTAGAAAACACTGTCAAACTGAATTAAAAACACGTGCTGGGGGCAGGAAATGAAAATAAAAAGTTGAATATTTTATTCATAACTGCTTTATTTTATTTTACTTCGGCTTAGTCTCGGATTTATCAGAGGTTGCCACAGTGGAATGAACCTCCAACTATTCCAGCATTTGTTTTACACAGCGGATGTCCTTCCAGCCGCAGCCCAGTACTGGGAAACATCCATGCACACTCATTCACATACATACAGTACACTCTCAAAAATAAAAGTACACGAGCTGCCACTGGGGTGGCACCTCTTGAAAAGGTACAAATTTGTATCTAAAAGCTCCATATTAATACCTCAAAGGAACATATTAGTACCTTAATAGTACAAAAGTGTTCCTCTTAAAATTTTAGTTACTAATATATTCTTTTGAGAAACTGATATGAACCCTTTAAGTACAAATGTGTACCTTTTCGAAAGGTACCACCCCAGTGACAGCTCGTGTACCTCTATTTCTGAGGGTGTACGGTCAATTTAGTTATGACCCGTCTCCCCTATAGTGCATGTCTTTAGACTGTGGAGCAAACCGGAGCAGCCGGAGGAAACCCATGCCAACACAGGGAGAACATGCAAATACCTTACAGAAATGACAGCTGGCCCAAACAAGACTCAAACCAGCGACCTTCTTGCTGTGAGACGACAGTGCTAACCACTGAGCCACTGTGCCGCCTTCTCTTGCTTTATTCATTCATTCATTCATTCATTTTCTTGTCGGCTTAGTCCCTTTATTAATCCGGTGGTATTAAACTTGTGGTATTAATACCACAACTTTTAAAATGGTTTTACAACTTGTGGTATTGTGTTTACCTTTTATAAAGATATTTTATATCTTAGAAAAACAAAGTAATTATATGCATATAAAAATGACAAAGCAATAGAAAGCATTGTCAAAACGTAAGTCAAAAACTGCATGTTGGTGGTGGAAAATGCAAAAATAAATAAATTATCTTGTTTCTACAAATTATTAAAAGTATATAATTAACATATAATTAATATAATTACTCATATATACACTAAAATATTACTATATAATACTATTGGATTTACTTAGTTCTTTTTAAGGTAACTATTTGCAAACAATTTATTTGGGTTGAATTTAAACAAAATAAAATAAGTTGAACATTATTAAATTATATACAATATATAATGAACATTCTAAAAATAATTAATTATATATGTACCCTAAACAAATGTAATATATATTTAATTGTATATATAAATATATATATATATATATATATATATATATATATATATATATATATATATATATATATATATATATATATATATATATATATATATATATATATATATATATATATATATATATATATATAT